TCATATAAGTTGAACCATATTTTGTGTTTGACTTCTTTCTTAACCTAATACTTTCAAAGTTTTTTCATGTCATAATACATACCAATACTCCATTTTTATGGCTAAATAATATTCCATTGTATGTATATACCATTATTGCTTATTCAGTCACCAATGCATGGATATTTGGCTTCTTTTTGGATATTATGAATAATGCTACTATGAACATTCACGATCAAGTTTCTGTTGGAACATCTTTAAGGGTCTACAGCTACTAGTGAAAAGGCAGGTCATATGAGACTCTCACTGTGTTGACGCCGGTACACTTGATGGTATCCCATGAGTCTTTGAGAATCTGTTGGTTGTTCATTTTTCCCCCCTCCTAAGATTGGTTAATCTCAATTGACCTATCTTTAGTTTCACAAAATCTTTCTTCTGCCTGCTTCAATCTGCTGTTGATCACTTATGTTGAATTTTCTCTATCATTTAACTTTTCAATTCCTAAATTTCTTTTTGTCTCTTCTTTATAATTTCTATTTCATTATTGATATTCTCTATATGGTGAGGCATTATTCTCAGACTTTTAGTTCTTTAAATATTGTTTCCATTAGTTCTTTGCACACATTCTCAAAATGGCTTATTTAATGTCTTCATTGAGTAAATCCAAAGTCTGGAATTCTTTGGGGACGGTTTGCTTTTCTTCCCCTCTGTGTATGAGGCATACTTTGTATCTGGATATGTCTTACAGCATATTCTTGAAAACTGGTCTTTTTAAAAAATATTTTATTTACTTAACAGACAGATCACAAGTAGGCAGAGAGACAGGCAGCGAGAGGGGAGGAAGCAGGCTCCCCGCTAACTAGAGAGCCTGAAGTGGGGCTCGATCCCAGGACCCTGGGATCATGACCTGAACCAAAGGCAGAGGCTTAACCCACTGAGCCATGCAGGCACCCCGAAAACTGGTCATTTTAAGTAATATAATTATATATCTAGGACATATCTAAAAATCAGATACTCCCCCTCCCTAGGGCTTGTTGTTTTTTGTTTTTGTTTAGTGCACTGTTTTGAACTTTGAAGTCCTTATTCTTTATTGTGTGTGGCCATTAAAGTTTCTGCTTCATTAGTTTAGTGGCACACTAATAACAAGACAGATTTCCTTAAATGCCTAGAGCACTTCTGTGATTTCGCTGAGAGACTGTGTGTGCGCGCATGCACGTGCACGTGCTACGGCACACCTTCAGCATAGCCAGGAAGTTGACAATTCCACCTGAGCATTCATTTCCTGCTGGAGCAGAACCTCCAGGTCAGCTGAAGTGACATTTAAGGGCTTTCTCAGCTCTTCCTTGAACATACACACAGCACTATGCAAGCATACATGACTTGCTTAATTCCAATATATATCAGAACTTATTAAAATCCCTAAAGATACCGAATTCCCCAGATTTCCTTTTAAGCTTTTTGACAAATGTTTGCCTCAACTGTTATTCACTGTCCCAAGCAACTGTGATGCCAAAAAAATTACCTCTGATTGTTTTTGAAAAGTGGTATCAGGAAAAAGGCTTTCACACTGAGCCAGTTCTCAGTCAAGTGGGGTCTTTCAGTGAACTACCACTTTGGTCACATAATGATAATTCTCAGTGAATATATTGTTGGAAGAAGATCCAACCCTGTTCTGCTTCTCCTAGTGACTGCCAGGCTGCTGGTTTTCTCTGTAATTATGAGCTGTTGGTTTTCAAAACTACCATGGATCTGAGGAGTGAAAGATGCAAGTAGGGAAAGTTAAAATGTCACAAAGATCACTGTTCTTATCAAGATTCATCCCCTTTTCTTGAAAAATACTCCCTGGATTGCAGTAAACCTGTGCTTAACTCCATAGTTCCAAAAAAGTTGATTGTGATAATATAGACAGTTTCCTCACTGCTTTTTATGGGGAAAATAATTTCTGTACATCTTCACTCCACCATTTTTGCTGACATCACCCCAGGTAACTTTCAAACTTAGTTTTGAGACCATATATCCTCAAGCTAAAGAAAAAAGAATTCTTAAACATATACTGAACTTTGGCTAGTAGACTTGTATGCTGCATCAGTCAGAAACTCTGAAACTAACTTCTGTGGTATTCTAGGGTAAAAAAACAAGTAAACATACTGTGGATAATGGGAACCATCTTTCTCACTGTTAGATGGCAAAAGGACACAAGACACAGCCTGAGTTGGCCCCCACTGGCCAAATTAAGGACAATCTGAGCATCAAAATAAATAATAGATTTCTACTTCTGTAGTGATAGGAATTAGATTTCCCATTCTAGATTAAATAACTAGAACAAAGGATTAAATAAAATATGACTTAGGTTTTCAGACAATGGACAAAAAGCAGTAGAGCACAGTAATACCTGAGAGAGTGAAAACCAGTTGAGTGTTTTAGTTCACTGCATGAAGTTTCCAAACTATGCTACAGAGGGAAGGAATCCCAGGTAACTCCGTGGCCTTCCTGAAGAGACAGAGTTTAGGGTTTGCATAGGCTACTGTGCCTAGAATTTGTGAGGCAAAATGTAAGAGAGGATGAGAGGAACAGAAAGAAAAGCTGGAGACCTGGCGATCTTTGGAAGGATCCCCTTAAGTCTATGGCATAAGACTGATCTGTGCAATGTGTGTGAGGAACCTACCAAGGCCAGGGGAAAAAATTCACTAGAAAGGAGTTTGTGAAGTAACTGACACTGGGCCAGGTATAGTTTGTATTCTCATCTCACTGGATATAACAGAAAGATTTGCTATTAGAAAAAGCATTAGGCAGAGTGCTTAAAATGGTAATGCCTCTGGATTCAAATGAACCCTGGGCTAAGCTTTCCCAATCTCAGCATTGCAGACCCTTTGTACTTGATAATTCTTTGTTGTATATAATGTAGAATATTTTGTAGCATCCCTGGCCTATATCCACTAGATAGGACACACAATGTCTGCAGACATTGCCAAATGTACCCTAAGGGTAAAACTGCCCCAAACAGAAAACGGTTGCAGACAAGATCATTAAAATAGCTACTAATATTCCGTATGTTCAAGGAAGTAAAGAAAAACCTCAACATGATAAAAAGACATACGTAATATTACAACAGAAACAACAGCAGAGAGAGGGGGAAAAAGAGAATAGTAGGAGAATGAAGATGAGGAGGAGGAAGGTAGAGGTAGGAGGATGAGAGCTGAGGATAAAGCAAATGTGATAAAATGTTATCGACTGGAGAACCTGGGTGAAGGACTTCGTGAGATCAAGAATTTGGCTTTGCCCAAAGAGAGAACTGCCTTTGCCTTTGGCTTCTTGGAGGCATCTATGTAATATCTGATAGAAGTACGTTTGTTTAGGACAGCAGCTGGCTGCACTAAAAAAGACAAACCATGTGGGGCGCCTGGGTGGCTCAGTGGGTTAAAAGACAAACCATGTAACTGAGGATGGGGGATTTGAGGTCATGTGTTAGCAGTCATCTGGAACAATCATTTGAGCAATCCAATGTATGCTGATGCTTACATACTGCAGCCACCACAAAATATCTGCACACCAAAACTTCAGCGAGCTTCTGAGACTGGCAATACCCACTGCACATCGATGCCAGGATGGTAAGGCGTCCTGAGGACAATGGAGGCTTTGTGTTAGAACCCTCCATGGTCTATGCATCTCTTCCTTTGACAGGTTTTAATTTGTACCCTTTCCCTGTAATAAACAATGACTTCCAAGTAGGTGTCAGTGTGTGTATAAATAGGTTTCAGTAAGTTCCGGGGGTTTTCTAGCAAACTTGAGAACCTGAGGGTGTTTGGGGAACCCACCCCTGACCAACTCCATCTCCAAACCTGCAGCTGCTGTCAGAAGTGACAGTGGTCTTGTGGGGGCTCTTCTAACTCTGTAGCTGGACCCTAACTCCGTGCAACAGGGTAAGAAGCCTTGGCCAGACTTGGTAGTCTGGAGGACACTGCTCTCAACCTCGCAGTCTGGCTATATCTGAATAGCCATGGAGCCATTTTTCTTTCACTTTTCCTGTAATAATTTTTCATAATTAAAATTTCATTGAAATTAATTTTTCATAATTTAAAAGACAAAAGTAGAAAAAAAATTCTGCTTTCAACACAGTAAAAATAATTTCTTCTGTATAATCTCTTGAATTCCATTGCTCTGGTTATCTAAATTCTTAAGCTCTTGAAAATGACAGAAATGACCCTCCACAGCTTATGAATTCCTGCAAACAAGGGGGGTTTCCCTGCCATTAACAGTAAGATGGAATTTAGTTATCTTTGTTTAGTTAACCAAGAACACTTAATTTCTTCCAGAGAAGTGAAAGCGAAACATCTGCAAGGATTTTTAAAATCCCGTTTTCCTTTGAAATAACAGTACTCCATAGAGGGTAGTTCCTTCCTCAGTGAGTCATCTCATCACAGCATTCAGTTATCTGGAAATGCTACTTCAATCATACCTCCTTCAGAGTTTACCCTTTTGAATTCTAATCCATGATTCCAGAAAAAAATGTTTCTATAAAAGTACATGGTCAAGTAACTGCATGTTATACATTCTTGATATAAACAAATATTTCTATGCAGTGACATTTATAACAAATTACTGGTTGTGTTGCTCCATTTAAACATGCATGTTGCCTAAAAGACCGAGACATAATTCTGAAATCAAAAACTGCCTGGCATCTATTTTAAGATAGACAAAAAGTAGACCATAAATAACTACAAATAAAATAAAAATATTTGTTAATTTATTATCTCTATACCTATAAAAAAGTTACTATCTTAGCTTTGCTAAGAATAACTTTCAGCAAAGGTGATCTCTTTTAAATTACTACAATTTCCTCATATTTTCCATCATTATTTTAATGTATCTTCTCAAAATTTATTTTCAAGGCAAGACAGAGTTAAACCTGTGAAATACCCTTCATGTTAAACACAAATGAGGAAGTCTGAGATAGCTATAATCTAAAAATTCTTTCACAGAGGTAACAGCATGGGTATATTAATACTTGATTTGAAGTAGGCTTATGGAAACATAACTTTAATAATGGGCTGGTTCACAAAATGAGGTACTAAACTAATCAATCATCAAATGTAATTTTTTTCCCCTGAAACACAGCAATTTTAGATTGCTGTTCTTTTCGCCTCCTGCTTGCTTCCCACGAAGGATGAAGAGGCAGCTGTGATTGCTGTTTTGTATTTTGAAATCCTTTTTGTGCACTCTTATTAAACAGATTCTTGAGCTGAGGTTCATTCTGCTGAAAACCTGGTAGGAGAAAGCAAAAACAGTGAGAAAGAACCATATACCCACATAGCATTTAAGAGAAACAGACTTCATTTTCTCACATCAGTATTTAAGGAAGGAATTTAGTTTTACTTTAACGGAATACATCACAGTTTAAAAATCTAAGTCCAACAGGGAACACTGTGAAATTGAAATATACATATCAATAGACAATTCTGGGACACATGCTTTCTATTCTATCATCTTTCCTCTCAATCTTTTAAACAGATGTTTGTTGTCTGTCTCCTAATATATGTTGTGCTATTTTATTTACATTTGCAGTAAGAAAAGAAAGAATGCAGACGACATGGAAGGCCAAAAAAGTCCCAAAAGGGCATCTTATATTTTCAAAGGAATATCATCATTAGCTTAAGATAACTGTATATGGAGCAGATGTAGCCAGAAAATTCACATGTATTTACTAAGATATTGGATTTGATGACACTGATGGGAGAGATGTATTTTTAAAGGGCTACTAATTAAGTCCACTGCCTTCTATTACTAAACATAAAATTATCATAAATTACCAAATTTATTCAAATAGAAGACAAAGTTCTTTTCCAATCACAAAATTATCTACCAGATAAGAGGTGGATGTTATAAGATACTTCATGTTATAAGATACTTTATACTACGTTATTTTGAACAATGAAGTAGTGTTTGGGAGAGACACACCAGCCAGAAAACACATGAAACAATACATATTTATAGAATCAGGGGGGAAAAAAGGGGAGACAAAAATATAGATTTTTTTTTTTTGAAGTAGTCCTAGGGATGCATACGTCCTCCACTGCAGGTTAGTGACACTCACTGTCAAAAGTCTTTCGACAATCTTCTTAAAAAGCCAATGTCATAATGTTATACAAACAAATGCACATGGTTTGGGATAAGATTTCCAAAATATTATTGTACAAGGAATTCAAAATGTCCTGAATCTTGTATAAATCACATGTGGTCTAAAAACCTCATATAATACTCAGGACGGCTCTAGTAATGAAGAACCAAGAACTTAAATGTTAAATGAATCTGTCACATAAATAAATGGGATTCAAATAAGGCAGGATTCTAAATTAACATATTTTATATAATTATGGAAAGTAAACTGATATGTGTAAACAAACTGATAAATACTATAAATATATAAGCTAAGCAAAAAACAAAAACCCTTTCATCACTTGGGTCTCTTCACGGGAAAAACGGGAACGACTGAAGTTTACAGTTTTCTGCTGATGAATATAGGTCAGTGAGGCAGATTGCCATGTGTCTGCCAGACCTAGTTTTCTTTTCCTACTAGGTGCACAACCTGGATGCATTGCCCATCCTGACTGCAGTTAGATGAGGCCACGTAACTGAGTTCCAGCTCATGACATAAGAACAAAAGGCCTGGTTATAAACACCTCAGGCTTGATCCTTTAATCCTCACTCTCTGCTGGTAGGGAGCAAAGCAAACTCCTGGAGGCAAAAGGAGGAAGAAGTACAAGCAGCTGATAGACGGTGAGGAATGAGAAATGAATCAGCAGGATGTGGTAGTTACTTGTTAAAGCACGCAGTCTACTACAAAGAATACCAAAGTGGTACTCGGAAGGAGGATACAGCCATAAAAACAGCATACAAATTTGGCAGTGCCTTCACAGTTCAGTGGTAGGTGGTAAGGAAATGGACACTTTAGGCTGCAAAGTGTACATGCCTCTTATGCTAAGGAACTGGGTAAAACTGCGGCCAGTGAGAACTTGGGGAGCAGGTTATGGGCCTGTGGAGTTTGCAGCACCAGAATAAGCAGGTGGAAAGAATAAAAAAAATTAGTATACTGATGGCTCTTTGGCAATGGACTAAAAACAGAGAAAGAACTGGCCAGTGCACAGGCAGAAACTGAAGGGAACAGAGTGTCCAGATATTTGGGAACTAAGGTTCAGAAAAGCCTCTGGACTTCAAACAGTAAGAGGTAAGACTGAGAAAGATTTTAAGCAGGAAAGGTCTATGGAGATCCAGCCCCTGAGCAGAGTTACAAGTCAAGTATAGTCTTCTCAACCAAACCTGAGAATCTTAATACAGCAGATACTGAATGATGGTGGGGATGGGAAAGAAATACCCTCAAACACAATGAAGGCAAGTTTGAGAACAGCTCTAGGGGAAAATTGTTGGTGTGGTCACTAGCTCATGGATGGACTAAATGGAAACCAAGAAGTCAGAAATCCATTACATTTCTGAGAGACCTGTGTTGTGGAAGAAATCCTGTATCTGGGCTGAAAAACTCTCTCTTGAATATTAAAGACTTTGAACTATCTTTAGGACCATATGTTTTTACCAGTCACTTGGGGAAACTCCCAAGGAAATTATACCAAATGCCCACTTCAGATGTGCCCATGGAACACAGACCTCCCCAGACCACAGTCTGAAAACACAAAGAACAAGGGATAAAGAAGTTCCTCCAGATTGTTCACACTTTCGTTCAGGTAGCAGACATGTTATGTACCTCCCAATTTTCCCTTAACTGAATGGGAGTTTGTATTATGGTTACCTTGTCTCTGATCTGCCACTAAATAAATATTTGGTATGAGCTGGGGACAGGCAGTCTGTCTTAGTGAACAGGTCATCAAATTTTGAGCAGTCACATCTGGGAGACTGGACGGTTTAAGTATCACATCATTGGTGGATGATGCTGGGCTTTGAGCTTGGATGCAGGGACCGGGTGGGACTATGGGCTGGCTTCCTTGGGAAGGAGATAAAAATGTGCTCTGTGTGGGAGGGACAGTGAAATGAGCACCTGGTGAGAGAAAGGATAGTCACTCGCAGAGAGTTATGTGTTTAAGAAATTCAACTTCCTTTTTCCTCCTAACCACACACTTAGATTGCATTCTTAGCTCCCTTGTGGCTAGATGATGTCATATAATTGAATTCTGGCTAATGAAATATGAGTGGGCAGAACTGATTCCTGCCACATTCAGACCTGGCCCATGAAAACCTCCTGCAAAATTGTCCATGTACTCTTCCCTTCTGGAGGACTATCTGGAAACTGCAGGAGGAAGGAGCTAAAAGATGAAAGGAGCCTGACTCTTGAATTACTACATGAAACACAGCCCCTCTGTCATCTCACAGTGGACTGTGATGCGCATGAAAACTATATTTTTATTATTTTAAGCCAGCGAGAGTTTGGAATTCTGTACAGAAGTCAGCCTACCCAAATACATGTAATGTGATTTGTTATGAATTAATGTGAAAATCCTTTGATTTTACCCTGAACCTAGAAAGTAACATACTTGTTACTGAATGCTTAATGGCATGATGCTAAGATATAACTTAAAGTTGTATTTAAAATGTAAGGAATGTACTAGTTTAGTTAAAGATAAATAAAAAAGACCCAATATTTCCCAGTAAGTCTTGCTTATGCCTTTCATACTAGTAGTAGACAGGTAAAAACAAATACGCGAGCAATTGAAATTTAAAAATTATACTGATAATTGAAAGCTCTTCTTGTCCCCTTCCTGTGGGTACATATTTCATCCAGGCTATTGAGCAACCAAGACTTTTCATCCTTTTACTCTGGCAAAGCATCAGTCAATTTCTTATCAAGGTCAGGCAGCTATTAATACATACCTGGGGTGCTGTTTTTTGGAGCTTGTTCTCTGTAATTTCTAAAAAAAGGAAAAAGATCATTAGAACTTGAAAAAGGTAATTGACCTTAAGAAGATAACGTATAAAACAAAAACAAACAAACAAACAAACAAAAAACTAGGGATAAAACTCACTCAAAGGACTAATGAACTCCCTCATCCCACCAAGCAATAAAAAAATGATAAAATCCAAGGTTTTAGTTGTATCAAAGTTTGTGAGACCCCAACAATACCGCAGACACATGGGACTTTCCTTCTCACCGCCCTTACAGGGGCTTCTGGTCATAAAATATCCTATCTTGGTTACTTGTGTCTACTCTTGAGGACTATCCAGACAAAGAATTTCAAAAGTCTTCTTAAAGGAGGAATGAGTCACATATTACACAAATTCATTTTGTGGGAGATGGAAAGCAAAATGGTGTGTTATTCTCAAGTGAGGAAAAAAAAATGGAGCCTTCTGAAGCATGTTTGGGAGATATAAAATTTTTTAAAATTAATTTTAAGGTTTCAGATATGGTTTGTGTCTTTTCCATACTCTTCTTTGGAAAATGTATACATCATGTGTTTCTATTCTATCAAAAATTATCCCTGATTTACACATAAATAGAAAAAAGTTTTCTGAAGAAGGTAGCTATTACTGAAGAAATTAGCTAACCATGATATTTATCCTAAAATGTGAAAATATTCCCTCCCAGATTAGAGCTACAAATGAAATGAAACCTATTGGTTTTTAACAGAAGAGCTGAGAAAGGTGGTGGTTAGGGACGCCTGATTGGCTCAGTCGGTTGAGCCGCTGCCTTCAGCTCAGGTCATGATCCCAGGGTCCTAGGATCGAGTCCTGTATTGGGCTCCTTGCCCGGTGAGGAGCCTGCTTCTCTTTCCGCCTCTGCCTGCTTGTGCACGTACTCTCTCTCTCTGACAAATAAATAAATAAAATCTTAAAAAAAAAAAAAAGGTGGTGGTTAACAGCAGGGACAGAGACAGCAACATTACCGGATACAAAGGAGTCTGGAGAAACTTGCGGTTAGAGCAAACTGTATATACTGTTTATATACAGTATATACTGAATATACTGTATATATTGTATATATACTGTATATACTGAATATATGTATTCAGTATTTACTGAAACAGCAATGCACAAGGAAATGACTGATGTTTACAATAATGGCCATCAGTTATCAAGAAAAGGAAAAAAAAAAGAACCACCATTCTTTTCAGAAAGTTCTGTTTAAAGAGTAAAATATGAGATGTTTTCAAAAGGTTTTCACCAAAAGCAAACTCAAAGTTTGAAAAAATTGACAATCAGAGGGATAGACTGAAATTTGCTAGACAAATTATTTAACTACAGGACTGATGTGGCACCGCTAGATGTGTATTTGCATATACTATCCGAGTATAAAGTTTGAAAGGACCAAGTCTAAACACAGGATGTGTTGTATAAACTACATGTACATATGGGAGAGATTCTCTTCTGCTATTGCTAGGATGTGCAGATATTTCTTATCTTCAAAAAAAAGTTTAAAAACAAACAATTATTTCAGGATAGAAAAAAACAACTCTTACCTTCTAGAATTTTTAGATCCCGATAAAGAATGGAAAAACACAGACTCAAACTTCCTTGATTCTGTACTTGGCTTGTTTATGTCATTTCTTACACTCTGATGGGTTTCGAGTATATCTTCCTCAGGTAACACTTTTTGCGGAGGCTTTTGTTCCTTAACTGAAGAATGGCAACTACTTTCCTTCTTTCGTGTCCGTCTGACTTTCCCAATGAAGAAGTCATCACCACTGTCACTATCCTCAGACATGGAGGACTGTTTGTAAAACCTTTCCTCTGTGCTATCATCAAAATACTCCTTTTCTTCTTCTTGTAATTCTTCTCCATCACTGTTATCATCAAGGGAGCTACTGGACTCTTTCCCTTTTTTGGTTTTACTTGAGGTTTTCATTTTTGGGTCAGCAGGTATCTTCCGGGGCTCAGAAGAAACTATACCAGCCCTTTCAGAAGGCTTTGATGGAGAATTTGGAATGTCTACAGCAGTGGGTCCATGTTCCATCTTGGTTCTTTTTCCTTTTGAATTTATTGGTTTCTTTGCCAATATTTTGGCTTCTTTCTCTTTTTGCTCACTGATAATAGTTCCTTCATGCTGTAACTTACTGGCATCATCATTTGAACACAAAGTGTCCTTGGAATGATTTTCTTCTAAAGCAGTCTCTAATGATTTAACTTCAATAACATTTTGTCTTGCATCTTTAAAGGCTTTGACAGCAGCTACAACAGAAAAGCACATGATTTGTTTCATCACTAAAACAAATAATACAAAACATCACCACTTCAGTACAGTATTTATTAAATTATTTGCAAACACTTAAAAGGATAACTGCAATTAGATTAAATATATATCACAGGTCTGAACTCACAAAAGAATGTTACTGACTTCAAAAACCGAACTTGGAAGAAATGCTCAGAAGTATTCATTTAAAACTCTTAAAATTAACCATCCTTTCAGGCCTTGAAGCTATGAAAAATAGTAAAAACGTCACTTGAGGGGCGCCTGGGTGGCTCAGTGGGTTAAAGGCTCTGCCTTCAGCTCAGGTCACGATCCCACGGTCCTGGGATTGAGTCCCACGTTGGGCTCTCTGCTAGGCAGGGAGCCTGCTTCCCCCTCTCTCTCTCCGCCTGCCTCTCTGCCTACTTGTGATCTCTGTCTGTCAAATAAATAAATAAAAGTCTTAAAAAAAAAAAAAAAGAAAAATGGACACATCTACAAAAAAAAACCCTTCACTTGAACACAAATAAATAAAATTAAATGGCAACTTTAATTTCTTTAGCAATAACGTATTGATATGATTATGGTGCATTAAACTATGTTTTCAGACATAAAAATATATTGTAATCTGTGACAGTAACATTTAATTCTTTCAACACAGATTATTTTCACACATGAAAATTACGTGACTAAGTGGCAATATCAAAAGCAATACATACATTACATCAATATTTAGCAAATCAATTATATTCAATATTATCATGAATATGTTATATATAATATAAATGTATTCAGATATTAGAACTTAGGAAAGAACACAGATTTAATTAGACTTCAGATAACTTCCATATTTTTAGGCACCTTCCCACATTTAAAAATATTTGAAGGAGGTATTTATAAAAGGTTCTCAAAACAAACATAAAAACTCCCAAAGAAATAAAAGAATAGCCATGTATTCAAAGTCATATACACAAGTGCATTTAAGTACATGGCTTAAAAGTCATTTAATACATACCTTTTAGCACATCTATTTTTTTCTTCAGAAGAGGATGCATTGCTAGTCTGGCAACTGCTCTTTCAGCTGCAGTAGAATCAGGCTGCAAATTGAAACAACAAACATGGGAATAAAAACAAAAGAGTGCTATTAAGTGAATAAAAGAAAATGTATCATAACTTTTAAAAATGAGAGTTAGGAAACAGGAGTTTGATACTATTCTCATTAGATAAGTCATTTGTATAATCTATGATAAAGAAAAAGAAAACTCATAATGCAAAATACAACTGCCCCTGAAATAAATGAATTTGTCATGAAATCAACCGACAAATATTCTTCGGGGACTTAGTATCTTTCCAGAACTCTGGAAGGTGTCCTGTGAAATACATAAAAAATGCAATATAGCTCGTGTTTTCAGACTAAATTAATATGAATCAAAAAACATGAGAGTGCTCAGCTGGGTGATATAATTGGTAACTACTGTAATGTTCGAAATTCCAGTTAATAGAGATGTAAATTATCTGGTGTTAAATATTTGTATTTTGAAAGTCTAGTATCTCTACTGTATTTTCAGAACCTTCTACCACCGCTTGGCTAAGAGCAAACACTTCATAAATATTTGATGATGACTGAATTGGGACTGATTATGTATTTAATATATTTATGAATACAGAAAATTCTTGATTTGGGATAATTTCTTTAAATATCTTCTGTGGGCGGACAACTTCTAAATTTCTAATCGCTACTCTAATTTGAGCTCAAGGCTCGTATATGAACCTCCTACTTGACATACTAAAAACGAATTTTTTTTTTTTTAGTAGGCTTCATGCCCAGTGTGGAGCCCAACAAGGGACTTTAACCCATGACTCAGAGATGGAGAGCTGAGCTGAGATCAAGAGTTGGATGCTTAACCCACTGAGCCACTCACCAGGCACCCCGAGAATGCTCTGATATCCTCTCAAACTTACTTCTTTAGTCTTTCCTTGATTACTATGTATAATTTCACATTTGTTGGTTGCTGAGGACTAAAACTTTTAAGAATTCTTCTATCACATTTCTCTTCTTCATGGCTCACAATCAGTCCTTTAACAAATCTTGTGGATCTAAATGCAAAACTATGTTCAGGACCAGTCATTTCTTACCACTTCTATTCTTAGAACTTTTGACCAATTCACTAAACATGTCTCACCTGCAGCACCTATGTATTACATTCAAACTTGGTCACTTGCTCCCCCACTCCTGGTTTTCCATAGAGCATCACAATGAGTTTTTAAAAAGGTAGCCAGATCAAAATATGCCATTCTCTGTTCTTCTTTAAGCTTTATTGCTTTCTGATGCTTAGGCTATTTCATGGTTAGCTCTTCTTTTCCTGCTACACTGTACTCCCCAATATATACATGATCGATCATCTCTTATTATTCACATATCTGCTCACATGGTATCTGAACAACACTCCCCGTAACTCTTTATCTACTTATCACTTAACATTGCATGCCAGCACAGATACTTTCCCATCTATGAGGCAGGGGCTCTGTTTTCCTCATTCCTATAGACCTAGGGCTTGGAACAATAAATGGTTAACAATCTGCATTCAATAAATCCCATAAAACAAATGAATACATGTCAGTGTGTGTCAAAATAGAGCTGTCAGCTTCAAGTGTCTTTATTTTAAATTTCTCTTCACTGTTAATAGCCCACTATAAAACTTTTTTCCCTCCTCGTAATACAAAGGTATGAGGACATTAGTAAATGCAAGATGATAGTTGTCTGAAGTTTACTGTGTTTGGAGGGCTTATCTAGGTAATGTTACTCAGAGAATAACTTCTTTAAATTTTATCTGTGGTCTAATTACCTTGTATATTGAAGAATATCCCTCTAAAATTTATGTCCAACTACAAACTCAGAATGTAACCTTACATGGAAACAGGGTCTTTGCAGAGATAATTAAAAGGCAGATATGCTGGATTAGTGTGGCCATCAGTCTAATATGACCGATGTCCTCATCAGGGGGACACTTGGATACAGGCAAAGGGAGGGAAGAAGGCTGAGGCAGAGACTGCAGTTATCTTGCCAAAGGCCATGGTTCACCACAAGTTGGAAGAAGCAAGGAAGGGTTCTTCCCTAGAAACTTTTGAGGATCTTAGTCCTATTGTCATCTTGATTTCAGATTTCTAGCCTCCTGAAACATGACAGAATACATTTTGTTGTTTTAAAGCACCCAGGTTTGTGGTACTTTGCAGCCTTAGGGTAACTATAAACTCTGATTTTCTTAGGCTCTTAGATATTTTTTAATAAAGGTTTTATTTATTTATTTAACATAGAGAAAGAGATCACAAGTAGGCAGAGAGGCAGGCAGAGAGAGAGAGGGGGAAGCACGCTCCCCACTGAGGAGAGAGACCGATGCAGTGTTCAATCCCAGGACCCTGAGATCATGACCTGAGCCCAAGGAATATATTTGACCCACTAAGCCACCCAGGAACCCCAATTAGGCTCTTAGATATTGCCTCTGTTCAATCTTGTCCAAGAAACGTAGGCCATCTGGAGACTATTCATTATGCACAGGGTTAAGATAAGCCTTTGCTTCTTCAATACCTTGCGGGGTTTCCTGAAGTCCAATACAGGACTTCTTACCTATTTTATCTCCCTTGGAGATACATGAGAGAATACGGAAAGAAAACCTAGTGCTGGTATCCTAAGTCACTTAGTAACAAGATGGGCTGCTGAACGTATAAGTCAAATATGTACGATTTAGTTTTATAGGGTGTATGTTAAAAGCTGTAACAGAACCCCTGATGAGGGACATTACTTTTCATGCTGGAAAGGCCAACATGATAAGGAAAATCAAGGATCAGGAGCGCCTGGGTGGCTCAGTGGGTTAAACCTCTGCCTTTGGCTCAGGTCATGATCCCAGGGTCCTGTGATCGAGCTGGCATCGGGCTCTCTGCTCAGCGGGGAGCCTGCTCCCCACCCCCCGACCCCCGCCTGTCTCTCTGCCTACTTGTGACATTTCTCTCTGTCAAATAAATAAGTAAAATCTTATAAAAAAAAAAAAAAGAAAATTGAGAATCACATCAGAATACTAGAGTCTACATGCTTCCAGAGAGAGAAAAAATTTATTAAAAATAAATAAATAAAATCAGGAATCAAAATTGGAGGTCAAAGATAATTGAATAAAAATTCTGTAGGAAAATGATTCCTAAATTATGGAAGAATAAAAAATACTTCCCGACATGCAAGGTTTAAAAAAGCTTACATCTGTTGAGCTTTTCTCCTTAGAAGGTACTAGCTCCATAAAGTAAAGAAGGATACAAAGGACAAGGAATGTATGGGATATAAGAAATGGGAGATGCAGGCAGAAGGCATTCTCAGGATGATGACAAGGAGATTTAGAATACCTGGTGTATTAAACAACTTTTTTAAAAGAGTTTATTTTATTTTATTATTTTTTTAAAATATTTTATTTATTTGACAGAGATCACAGGTAGGCAGAGAGGCAGGCAGGGAGAGAGGAAGGGAAGCAGGCTCCCTGCTGAGCAGAGAGCCTGATACGGGGCTCCATCTAGGACCCTGGGATCATGACCTGAGCTGAAGGCAGAGGCTTTAAGCCACTGAGCCACCCAGGTGCCCCAAGATTTTATTTATTTGAGAGAGAGAGCACACATGTGCACGAGTGGGGTAAGGGGCAAAGAGAGAGGGAAAAGTGGGCTCTTCCCTGAGCAGAGAGCCCCATGTGGGGCTTGATCCCAGGACCCTGAGATCATGACCTGAGCTGAAGTCAGACCCTTAACCAACTGAGCCACCTAAGCATCCATGGTGTATTAAACATCTTGAGAGATTTCAGTAACTTAAGAGCAGTTTGGTATTACACGAGAGAGAAGACAGGAAACTACCAAGGAAAAATAAACTATAGGAAACAAATATTGTGCAGAAAAGGAAAAATAATCATCACTCACGACATGACTCATAGTCAAAATGACAAAATCACTAAATGCTCATCTAATCTAAATTTGACCCAAGTGCCTTAGGAGGATGGAAGGGATAAGAAAGGTACATATATGACAGAAGGTCTGGAAGAGGAAAGAGATCTAAATTCTTATAAACCATCATAGGAAGTCAATAGCTAATAATTAAAATATACTAACACTGACATATTAATGTGTGGGGTAAATCCCCTGAAAACCAACTGAAGTTCAAAGTCAGGAAGTACTAATGGAGAACTGTCATTTTCACAAAAAAAGTCTTGTAGAAATACTTCTCAAAACTGGTGGTTCGCAAACTGGCTAATGGGCCAGTTCTCACCTGCTGCCTGTTTTTTAGAATAAGGTTTCAAGGAAACAGCAAAATTCATCCATTTACATACTGTCTACAGCTCTACTATGTCACACAGCAGAGTTGAGTAGAGGTGACAGAGAATATATGGCCTGTAAAGCCTAAAATACTTTATACAGAATTACTTTACAGAAAAAGTGTGACACCTGCTCTAATAATATGCAAATAGAATCCTTGGTGGGGGTAGACTAAAAAATTAGGAAAAAATACAAAGTAAATTTCTGGCAGGTTCATGATGTTCTAAAGTTAAATTTAAAACAAACACATGGGAAGCTGGAGAGGAGAAGGGAGTTGGGGGAAACTGGAGGGGGAGATGAACCATGAGAGACTTTGGGCTCTGAGAAACAATCAGGGTCTTGGAGGGGAGGGGAGTGGGAGGCTGGGTGAGCCTGGTGGTGGGTATTAAGGAGGGTACATATTGCATGGAGCACTGGGTGTGGTGCACAAACAATGAATTCTGCAACAGTGAAAAGAAATTTTAAAAAACCCTCAAAAAAAAACACAAAAAACAAAAAACAAACAAACCAGGGGCACCTGGGTGGCTCAGTCAGTTGAGCCTCCAACTCTTGGTTTTGGCTCAGGTCATGGTATGGGGTTATGAGACTGAGTCCCTTGTCAGGCTCTGTGCTTCACATGAAGTCTGCTTGAGATTCTCTCTCCCACTCCCTCTGCCCCTACCCTTCCTCAGATGTGCTCTCTAAATAAATAAATAAAATCTTAAGAAGAAAAAAAAAATAAAACAAAACTATCACAACAGACTTTTGTTGCCATATC